GAGGCGTTGGGAAAAACGGACTACTGAGTCCCGGAAGCTCAAAGGCACACTACGGATCGACCCGCAGTCCACTATGGATGCCATTACGTTTCCTCCTGGCTTGTCGCGTTCTGGTGGGTTCCCTCACGTTTCACACGTTTGTCCAAGGTTTTGACACGTCGGACGCTGGCCAGCTTTGGGGGACGTTTGTGCCCACGGTATAAAAATAAGGCCTCCCAAGCAATAGCAGCCATTGTATCCCGAGAGACAAGAGCAGCATAAACCCACAAGATGAAGAAGATTTTGTGTTTGTATGCTTGCTGGGGGCATTCATCGAGTCCTTGCGTCAGCAAGAAGGCCAGCATCAGCTGTAGAGAGGGAATGCCAGAGAACGCAATGTGCCGTATCTCGCCGGCCCTTAGTCTGTTGTACAGACCCTGAAGTAAATATATCCAAGAAAGCCCACGCAAGTCTAGAAAAATGTGGCAAGTCTAGATTTCCTCAGCTTCAGGCTGAAAATGAAGAAAGTCTCAGGGCTCCTTTTCATTTTATATATTTTTTTAATTATGAACTTTTTTTCAGTAAAATATGTTCATTTCAGAGACTAGTTGTTAGTCTAGCCGGCCCTGTAAACCGTCACACGACTGGATGCGTCCTGATAGAACGTGACGAATCGGCTACCATACATCCTAGCTTGCCGTGAGAACTGGGACAAAACGGGCATCAAGGGTGAAACAACCGTGACCACGCCAGACAAACGTGGCCGAACGTGACAAAACTTGAAAGGACCGCGAGATGCCGGGCAATACACAAGTCTCCTGTCCCAAATCAGACCGTCCACAAGTTTTGTTACGGCTTATTAGGTGCTGTTATATTTTATTGCGACTTACTACGGCCTACTAAGTAATATTTGAACAGTTTTAAAATCTGGCACTGCATCCACAGCAATCAAGGAATGTCAGGTTTGCTGATTCACCACCACCCCCCACCCCCAACCCCCCTTTCAGGGGGTCGTGTCAAAATCAAAACCAGGTAATAAACACAAACTCGACAACTTTGATAAGGGTGTCATACGCCGTGCAGTTGATAATCTGTATGAACGCAAAAGCCCACCGACGTTTGCTAAAATACAAGATGAGATCAAAGATACAATCAATGTCTCGAAAACAACACTTATTATAGCTCTGTTAGAAATGGGGTTCAGGTACACTAAAAGGGGAGTTGACCGAGCTGTGTTTAGAGAAAAGTATTTAATCCTGTCCATGCGATCAGCTTATCTCAGAAAGGTTGAAGAATACCGCAATTTGGGGTTTCAAATTTTATACCTTGATGAAACCTGGTGTAATAAAAATCACTCAACCAATCGGATGTGGCTTCCTTCAGATTGTTCTAAGGCATCAGTTTTACCATCAGGCAAAGGTAGACGCCTGATCATTTTGCATGCTGGTACCCGTAGCAAGGGACTGATATGGGGTTGTGACTTTGTTTTTGAGGCCAAGAAATCTGATGGTGATTATCATAGCGAAATGAATGGGCAGGTATTTTTGGATTGGTTCGAACATCAGCTTTTACCGCAGCTGGACGAACGAAGCAATATCATTTTGGATAACGCCAGTTACCATAACCCGCGTGTCCGTGGTACCATCACCACCCACAATGAGCAATCTCAAGGCTCAGTTGCAGGATTTTCTCACTTCTAGTCTGTCTCACTGTGCCTGAACCACATTATTTTCCCTACTGCCAAGTGCAGTGCTAAAGCCCTAAATAAAGCCAGTCTAGATTTCCTCAGGTTCAGGTCTGAAACTCTGGTCTCCCTAGGGATCCTTTCCAATTTAAATGGGCTTGTTTGTTACTATCAAAATTATATATATTCAGAGACTAAACATTAGTCTATCTCACTTCCTGTAACGTGCCTTACAGGCAATCAGAAACAAAGACACAGTTCATGGGAAAATCCGGCAGCACAAAAAGCCAATTCAGTACATCACTGACGAACTAGCTGCAAAACAAGGCCACATAGTTCTGCCAGAGACCATATAATAGATGGTCTATTATATTGTGTCTGGTTCTGCGTACACCAGTACGGCACTGTGAGCTAAATCCCATTGAGCTGATCTGGGGTAACTGTAAGAATTGTATTGCTCGCAATAATACCACATTCACGCTTTCAGACGTTAAGGAGCTTGTGTATCCTTCTTTTGCGAGGATTACCCCAGAAGTGTGGCAAAAGGCTAAAGACCGTGTTCTCAAAATCGAGGACGAATACCGTCTGCGGGATGGCGTTCACGTCAGCCGTGTTGCACCTGTTGTAATTCTGCTAGAGTCCTCGACCAGCAGTGATACTGACACTTGATATTTTGAGACGGTCCCTGACATGTACTGCCCGTGCGTTACATAACGCTGTCACCCTGCCTGCCTGACAGGTGGGTCACAGTATAGTCTGTTTCTCGATATTTTACGAGTAATCATTATGATTAGGGAATGGTACATCGTGATTACTCATATGCCATATTAGGTCGAGGTGGTATGAATGATTATATATGAGTTTTGAATCTGAAATATCAACCTTTGTCAAATAATTGCCAAAAAGCATTTTCCAAGCATTTCTGGCCTTAGTATAATTGTTCCACCAGATTGGCCCATGAGCCCTCATAGGCTTGCGGCTCCAGGCAAAAACATACATAAAATTGTGCAATATTACAAAGTTGTAGCACAGGGCTTTACATGACCAGCCGATTGATAGAACTGGACCCGTTCTACCACCCGACAAGGTGAAGTTAGGGTCAAAGTGGCCATGGTGTATTGGACAAAGGAATGCTATTCCTGGAACCCCGTCTTCCACCAACACAGGGGCGCAACCCACGGCAAACAGATTGCCCAATTCGGTCGCCTCCTACTACCAGCAATGGGGTGCTGTAGACCTATTCTACCCCGGGTCCACACGGGGAAAGAGCTGTTTGCGTTACCCAGCACTCACCACGAAGGGGTTGCTCTTCACTAGTGCTAGCTTGTAGTAGTCTCCCAACCCGTAATAGTCCATCATGGTAAGCCGAAGCACAATCCTAACCCAGATCTTCACGGTTAAGGCAATGACGCTGTCTCTATGTTAGATTATTGAAACAGACGTTTCTACTTTTGATATACAGAATGAGTCAGGCAACTTAAATTTTGACTTTTATTGTATCAAATTCATAATAGTGGAGTGGTTCAGAATTTGAAACTTCCATCAAAAAGGTTTTCAGATGTATCTTGCTGATTGCGTCTGTTTACCTAAAATCTAGATTGAAGGCAGCAAGACAATTTCCCTTTCTGCAATCCATGACGCAATGGTCTCAACGCTTTTAGTCGATGGTCAAGGACTCCATTCCATGATTCGAGAAAGATTATGAACCTGTGTTAGTCAGTACACAACCATGTTCTTGTGGCTTAACCAACGTGCGAAACGACTTCGCATTCCGAAGGCAAGCGGTGGCATTGGTTTCAGCTAACCAGTATCTGCACAGTGACGACACAATGAAAACATATAGAAGTTGAAATCATAATTCCCGTGAAATGATCCTAGTTCAAAGCGGTATTTAACCGCATTCACTGACTCATATCGGCCACCCACAACTGGTGAATACAACCCATACAACCTACTGTGTTGAGACAAACGCTAGAAAAGACACAGACAGCAACTCATGAACATTTATTGAAAGTATCTTCAAGGAAACATAACAAAGACAACTTGCTGTAAGTTTCAAATGGTCAAAATCTTGTTAACATTCATTTCAATACAAATCAAAAGAAAGATATCCTCTTTTTAACATTTCGCAAAAGTCTCAGAAACTTACATGGCTTTGAGTACCTTCTGGCTTTCTTTGGTGGCACAATAAAACCAGCGTCTCTCTCCATAACAAGGCAGAGCGTTTGAAACGCACCATTCAGAAGGGAAGAGTCAATACATTTTGCACGGCACCCCATATTTTCACTGGGGTTACATTCCGGTTTTACCTCCAGATCTGCTCCAATTCTTCTCACAATGGCGGGTTTCACTCTGGAACAGTCTAGGTTCTGTATCTCCCGTTTGAGATCTTCACCTGTTCCGAATGAATCCAGGTCAGTGAGGATAACAAAAGCATCACCGGCTGAAAGGATCTCCCGTTTGGTGGATGGCGCAAATGTTACCATCTTACAGGTCACCGAAACTCTGACAGTCCCCGTGCTGTAGATTCCTCGACACTGGAGTAGCTGTTGTATTCTTGGCTGATACAATAACTTGAAGTGGGTTTCAATATCAGCCAGTTTTTGCGAAGTCAGATCGCATTGAAGTATTCTGAGGATGGTTACAGTGAAGGTATCATTGAAGATGCAGGGGCCATTGGTCCTGGTGTTTGCCATCTCTGTTAGTTGTGTAACGTTCATGCGTTCAAAACCTTCAATCAATGATGTTCTGGGCCTGAGTGTGCTGTAGTGCCAGGTATAGTAACCCGGAGCCCAGCCGCGGAGTCTTATATACTCAGGTCCCGTCCATCACACTGTTTATCACACTGACGTATAGTAAAACGAAGCCAACCAGCCACCATTCAAGTACCCTGAAGTCACGATGATGATCACACCTCGGAACATCATATCAAAATAAACACGACAGGTGACACCGGAAATGACATTCGAAACTTGAAATGATAAATGTTGTCCCCATCTTGGTTGTCTTATTACTTTCGCTGTTCTCTCATGTACATATATGCTCTCTGTCTCATAGCATTCATTCACCTGATGAATGAGTCAGGATATACTCCGAAACATTGTGTTCCTCATAATTTAGTTTCATATCTAAATCAATGTTAGGGCCAAATTTATCATACAAAGAAGCGTGTTGTAAAAATAAATGTTAAAATCGAAAGTGTTGCGACACCTTTTTTCATGTGTATATATAGATTTTAGATTCTCTTGAGGATATCTCTTTGGTGCACTTTCACAGCCGAAGCAAATACCATATTAACAGCCGTGCAATATGTTTAAAACACCCTAAGTATATACAATATATACTATTCAAAAAAAAGAAACGCATAACCAAGAAATCTGCTTCGTAAATGTTGTATTTTCCAACACGTATAACTCGTCCACACATAGAGTTTAGTACATGAATTTTACATCAGTTTAGAAGAAGGAAATGTCTATACAACCAAGTGGACAATTTTAGTTAACGGAGACGTTGAGCGCGATGGCTATCAGTCCAATCTCACTCAACCTGTTCCGTACCGTTTGACCGGATATCTTCCGAAGTCCAGGCACCCAGCTGGCTGCCGTGCTCTCACCCGTGGCAGTACGATCACGCAAAAGTAGTACCCGATCTTGGGCTGCAGTGTGACTCGAGGTCTGTCTGTACAGGGACGGTCGTTTGTCATACCTGTTTGGTTGTAACGAGCTGCATGCCGTGATATCGTGCTCAAACTAATATTCAGACAGACACCTGGCAACAGAAGATTGATAATCTCCAGCGTGCATTCTTTCAATGGCGATGTTCAGTGTCGCAGCGTCAAGACGTGGCGTAGTGATTTGACCTTCAAACTGCTTCAAAACGAATGCTGATTTCCGAACGTAATCTGGAATTTTATATCCAGAGAGTGCATGCTCTTTGCTGCACAATTTCAACTGGAAGGTGATTGCTGTTGCGTTGTGGCGATGCCTGTTTAATCCCTGTAAGAAATCTCATCAAAATCAACATTTCAACATCAAGTAGATTTTTACTTGTACAATTGTGTAAAATCATGTTATCAACACTTTTGTTACATATTTTGACGATTGTTTTGAACACAATAGGCAATTAATAGATTTTAAAAAATACAAAACGCCTATGCGTTTCTTTTGGCATAGTAAAGCATATTTAGGGACCCTCTTTCGTGCCTTCATTCAATAAACACATGTATGCAAAGTAACCATGGAAACGCCCTAACTAGCATGTTTCCTGATGTTTCACTTTCTGTAATTATTATTTTACATATGTTCTTACGATACCAAATACATTGCGCTGCACGTATATTGACTTTTGAGCAAAAATAGCAACCAACTCGATTGTTGTGACCTTTGACCTTGATCTTGGTGTTTTACATGTTTTGAAAGAGCAGTGCTTGGGGTATCAGAAACATTCACAAGATTGACAAAATACATGTTCATTATCAAGATTTAGCCATTTATATATAGCAGTCGTGTTCTCTGAAAATAGCATGGGTACCATGGAAACGCCCAAAAATGACGCGTTGTCTGACACATTCAAGTCCTGTGCATGGACAACATTCATATGCAACTACAGAACTTTTTTGTACATTTTTGACACTGAATGTTTGTATTTCAAATTACATTATATATGTTTGCCTAGAGTCCTATGCCAGAAGGCGGTGTCTCAAGGGCCAATCTGGTGATAATGACCTCCAAATGATGTATGTCTATAATTTCTTGTCTTGGGCCGAACCAGTCGGGCATGAAATTGGTAGATAAATGCAGCTATTCGTGTCGTTTTCTCTGGAGTATAACACCCCTGTATCCCTGGTGTCGGCATATTGGATATCCGGTGCTATCTGACACTGTCCTTGTTGACACTCCATGGTGGGTGGGGGAGCAGGGGTGCTGAATATTTTCCTTTCATCATGGCACTTCTACCTTCTGGTTCATCTAGAAACGAAAAAAACAGACGTTTAGAGTATTTAGATCTCTCTACTGGACATATGTCTTCTAACAGTGACTCATGGGCTAGATTTGTTGTTATTGAGGGTTCAGGCTTTCTTCCACTTAAACTTAATCCAACTGCAATTTCAAAGGCTATCTCCAGAATTTGTGGAGAAGTTACAAATGTTACTCGTCTTCGCAGTGGCTCGCTTCTTGTCGAGTGTGCTTGGAGACAGCAATCTCTAAATCTGTTGTCGATCACGACATTTGCAAACATAGAGGTTGCTGTGTCTGTGCACAGGACGCTAAACTCTTGTCGTGGCATTATCCGAGACAGAGCACGTTGTCTTGCTGATATGTTAGAGGAGGATATTGCTTCAGAGTTGGCAGATCAAGGTGTATCTGCAGTGAAGAGTTTCACGATTAAGAAAGAGGGAATCATCGTGAAAACCAACACGTACCTACTGACTTTTGACCGTTCCTCTCTTCCAAAGTCTATAAAAGCAGGTTATTTCAACATCAGAGTGGATGTGTATGTCCCAAATCCACTCCGTTGTTATAAAAGTCAACATTTCGGGCATGGGTCGCAATCCTGTCGAAACTCTTCAGTATGCCATCGTTGTGGTGATCGACATGAGGGTTCCGACTGTGAGAAAGAGTATAAGTGCGCAAACTGTAATGGTGCTCATTCCGCTTCATCCAGGTCCTGTCCCGTGTATCAACGGGAATCACAGATATTGAAAATCACATGCCAAAATAGTATTTCCTACCTAGAGGCCAAAAAAAAGACTCCATCAACTTAGATTCCATCAAACCTGACCTACTCTGCCGCAGTCACCCGCTCTGTAGCAACGTCCTCCGTTTCATGTCAGACCGACTTGACATGGGTAACATCAAATAAACCTATTACTGCAGCTTCAGCCCTTCAGATTATTCCGAAAGTAACACAATCTACGTCGGCTTCGCAAACAGAAAATCACCATGAGCAACAATCTGAAACGTCTGTTTCTAAACTAGTCAGTGAAAGTTCAAAACAGAAAAAAAGAAAGAGATTAAATAGAGACAAACAACCTACTGTCCCTTCATCAACTGAGGTTTTAACACAAAACACATTTGCACCTCTAGGTTACTCTGTCCTCACAGGACAAGAGGAGGAATAGTTCCTCCTCACACTCACGTGGACTCACTCCAATTAAGCTGTCATATTGCATGTTACTTCTGTCATATTGCATGTTACTTCTGTCATATTGCATGTTACATCTGTCATATTGCATGTTACATCTGTCATATTTCATGTTACTTCTGTTATATAGCATGTTACATCTGTCATGTTGCATGTTACTTCTGTCATATTGAATGTTACATCTGTCATATTGCATGTTACATCTGTCATATTGCATGTTACTTCTGTCATATTGCATGTTACATCTGTCATATTGCATTTATCGATAACAGCGTTTTGTTACTCATGTTAAAGTGCAAACCGTTTCAAAAGGTTTCTTTTAGGTTTTCATCCTGTTGTACTTGAAGAAAAGCTTTTGTTTTCTGTGTTTGCGGTTTTACGCCGACCTCCAGCTTGATGGTGGAAGTCTGCAAATACTCCGATCTCGACTATTATGAACCTGTTTTAGTCAGCACACAACCGTATTCTTGGGGTTTAACCAACATGGTAAATGATTTCTCGTTCTGAAGGCAAGCGTTGACAGACAGACAGAGACACACACAGATTGTTTATTGCTAGACTCACATCATACATTATACATTTAAAACATCGTAAAATACATAAAATGAGCCATCCCTTATGGGAACATGAGAGACTATCTATGAATGTAAAAAATATACAAAATATAAAACAAAATTGACAACTATTAAACTGATGATAACGGTGCTTTTAAAAACATAAACATCTTACACTATTTCGGTGAGAGATTCAAATACACGCACGTGCGTTTGTTGACAACTCCAATTGAGTGTATTTCTGACGACCTTGCGGGCTTTAGGAGATGTACGTGCGCTTCCAACAGTTTTAAGAAATGTAATTATTAATCGCTAAGAGTTTTAAAATGAATAATATTATATCTGTATATAACAAATCAACTTTGATTTTAACATTGGACATATGTTTCACATCTCTGGGAATGTTTTGGTCTGACCATTTTTGGGTGATTCATAAATTTTTCAGCGAATTCATTTAAAATTCCACTTGGGGTATGACAGCAAGGATACACGAATGTTCAATTTGAGAAATATTTTAAAGTCATTTCTGAGTTTCTACTTTAGGTTTTGATGTAGCTGGGTTCTTTTTATAAATTTTATTTACATATTCAGTACAACAAATCCCATTTGTGATTATTAAACCCTATTTAGAAATATAATTGGAAATAAAAGGTGAACATATGAAAATGATTACGTCAGAATATGTCTTTAACAAATATGTTTTTATCCTTCTTTTAGTTTGTATCAAGAAGTTTGATTCTTTAAAATAAATAAGCAAAAACAAAAACAGCTATACAATGTACGAGTACTTCGGTGATATTAAGTGCCATTGGAATGAAACAGGAATAGAGTTATTGTTCCTGTTTTATAGCAGTTCTGATGTTTATGCGCCAACATGAAATCCATCCAGAGGGGCACGAGTCGCTATTTGGCTTGTCCCGGAATAACACGAGTTGGTCACGAATGAAAAAGCATCGAGACGGGGACGAGTCTTCTTGGAGGTTACGGAAAGGGGCGAGTGGTGACGAATGGAGGGAGGAATGCTCCAAGGGAAGTAACTCTGTTTTGATTTCTGAATGTGATAGAAAGCTGTGCACTTGGTATAAGGCGTTCAAATCCTCAAATGTCATCGGGCAATTCTAACGAGATTTTCTTTTTTCATTTCGTTTATTTTGTCAATAAAGTAGATAATAGAATATTCAGAGTATGTTAAAGCCTTGGTATTGCGGGTGATTGCCGGTACAGGAATGACTGAGTGAGTGAGTTTAGTTTCACGCTGCTTTTAGAAATATTCCAGCAATATCACGGCGGGGGGACACCAGAACACGTTGTAAACATGTGGGAAATCGAACCCGGGTGCTCGGAGTGACAAGCGAACTCTTTAACCACTAGGCAACCCCACCCTGATATACAAGACATGGGGATCTGGTAGTCAGGCTCGCTAAATTGGTTGACACATGCCAGTCGTATCCCAATAGCGTAGATCGATGCTCATGATACCGTAGTATATCAAATGAATTATCTCCCTTGTTCGTCTTGTTTATACACCTAAATGAAGTTAATCTGAACACAAACACTGTTATAAGCTCACTTCCCTCGGGTACATTTGTCTGTAGGCGTAAAACCTCGCCGCGATAGTTCTCCGATCATTTATCTCAGTGTGTAGCTGGGCTGTCGCGGTATTGGTAACCTTAACTGATCAGGAGTCTCAGGCCATGTTAAAAGCTATCGTTTCTCGTGATAACAAGTCTTAAAAAGTGAGTGTGGTTTTACGCCGCTGTTAGCAATATTTCAGCAATATCACGGCGGGGAACACCAGAAATGGACTTCACATATTGTACCCATGTGGGGAATCAAACCCGGGTCGTCGGCGTGACGAGCGAACGCTATAACCATTTGGCTACCAAACCGCCCCAGTTGTAAAACGTATACACCCTATTACCCAGTCCTGCCCGGTACCCGATGTGGATCTGGTGATATAATTGTCAATTGTTTTACCGAAGGTCTGATAAACAAAATGTTTGGTGGTGGCTTCGAATGGAACGAAAGAGAAAAGATGTTTGATAGGCATTTAGAAGTTGGTAGGGTAATACAAGACAATTGATTTGGATGTGCAACTTCTTTATTATTTACACCATTCTAGAGTGAGTGAATGAGTTGGTGGGTGAGTGAGTGTAGTTTTACGTCGCTTTTACTAATATCACGTGGCACTAGACATGTGTTTCTATAGTGATGTATTCGATACGCGTATCATAGGTGATATAACATGTATCATATTAGTGAATGTTTCACAGCAGGGGACGTGGACATGGCGTTTCAGGCTGCTGGTGAGTGAGGATGGTTTTGTGACGCTTTTAGCAATAGATTAGCAACATCACGACGTGGGTGTATTTTTGTGTCCACGTGGGGCACCAGAAATGTGTTTCACACAATGTACATATGTGCGGAATCGACTGACTGACTGAGTTTGGTTTTACGCCGCTTTTAGCAATATTCCAGAAACATCACGGCGGGGACACCAGAAATGGGCTTCACACTGTACCCATGTGGGGATTCGAACCCGGGTCTTCGGCGTGACGAGCCAACGCTTTAACCACGTGCACTAGGCTACCCCACCGCCCGTGCGGAATCGAACAAGGTCTTCGGCATGACGGGCGAACGCTTTACCACCGCCAGTAATTGTTGCGAAACCCTCACTACTGCTTGCCTAGGTATACAGAAGTAATTCCCATATAATTCGCAGCATAAAATTTAACCTCTTTGTTGATGTGCACAAAAACGAAAGTAGATGTTGACATTGCCGATCGTTGGGCTCGGTTGCATCATCTGAAAGGGAAAAGTTTGAAAACATGCGGAAACGAAATTAGCAGGCAACAGAAAATTTACAACTGAGCCCATATTTTGAGTCGGTTGTGAAATATTAAATCCGCACTGCCAGTGAGTACGTGGAGGAACCCCTACTGTTAAACCCTAGGTAAGCCGGTGGTTGACATAGAGGTAACCATACCTCCCAGGCCACTTCACTGTAGTGTGTCTTCCTAGTGTTGGCCCTCTTCAAAACATGCCTTCATTTGCATAATAATTGGTGTGACTTCCAAGTCACGGTTTATTGCTAAGGTTTATTTCAAGACTCGTAAACCGTTTATCGTTCATTTTGAAACTGCCCATGTCGAAGTCATGTCTGCTACAGGTGAGTTAAAACTGTTCTTAACATTTCTGTGTAAACTGTTCGTTTAGCCAGTCTTGTTTGAATGTTTGTTTTCTCATCCGTTTGAAAACGGAAAGATGTTTTCCTTTTGGTGATAAACAATACATATGGGTTTGGAAGTTTTTGTATCTATTATACAGATTTTTAGTTCTTACAAATTTGTTTCATTTGAGGTATCAAGGCTGGAGGTTGTTCTGTCATTGCCAAGGTTGCCGTGGTGACAGTTTCCGTGGTAACCGTTGGCGTCATCGTTGCAATAGCAGTCCCGCTGGCTCGTGAGTTGTATACTCAGACACCAAGCAGCATCTGATATGAACAATTAACATTATGTGGTAGATGAACAATCAAACAGTGTGGTGATATATGAACAATTAACATTATGTGGTACATGAACAGACAGTGTGATGATATTTGAACAATTAATATTATGTGGTACATGAACAATGAAATAGTGTGATGATATATGAACAATTACCATTATGTGGTACATGAACAATTAAACAGTGTGATGATATATGAATAATTAACATTATGTGGTACATGAACAATTAAACAGTGTGATGATATATGAACAATTGACATTATGTGGTACATGAACAATCAAACAGTGTGATGATATATGAACAATTAACATTATGTGGTACATGAACAATTAAACAGTGTGATGATAAATGAACAATTAAACATTATGTGGTACATGAACAATCAAATAGTGTGAAGATATATGAACGATTAACATTATGTGGTACATGAACAATTAAATAGTGTGAAGATATATGAACAATTAACATTATGTGGTACATGAACAATCAAACAGTGCGATGATATATGAACAATCAAAATTATATGGTACATGAACAATTAAACAGTGTGATGATAAATGAACAATTAAACATTATGTGGTACATGAACAATCAAATAGTGTGAATATATATGAACAATTAACATTATGTGGTACATGAACAATCAAATAGTGTGAAGATACATGAACAATTAACATTATGTGGTACATGAACAATTAAACAGTGTGATGATAAATGAACAATTAAACATTATGTGGCACAAGAACAATCAAATAGTGTGAAGATATATGAACAATTAACATTATGTGGTACATGAACAAACAAACAATGTGATGATATATGAACAATGAACATTATATGGTACATGAACAATTAAACAGTGTGATGATAAATGAACAATTAAACATTATGTGGTACATGAACAATCAAATAGTGTGAATATATATGAACAATTAACATTATGTGGCACATGAACAATTAAACAGTGTGATGATATATGAACAATTTAACATTATGTGGCACATGAACAATTAAACAGTGTGATGATATATGAACAATTAAACATAATCATGGTACATGAACAATTAAACATTATGTGGCATGAACATGATGGTACATGAACAATTAAACATCATGATGGTACATGAACAATTATACATTATGGTGAATCCTATGAACCCGATGAAAGAGTAAGCATACACTCCGAAACGTCGTGTTATTCACAATAATGAAGTTGACATCCATACATGCTTTTCTTATGCATTCAACTTCTAAATGCCTATTTCAAAGATTTAACATGTTTTCGTTAAGAATGATAGGGAAGAAACAAATAGTTATTCACTCACTCACTCACTCTGGGTGAATTTCTTTCTTTAAGTTCGGAACAACAACGTTGTCTCACAAACAGCTGAAACCAAGGTGACAACAGCCCAGCCCCCCACAGTCAGTGTTACCGGGACGACCAACGCCCAGCAAGTAACCACTACTGACAGTACGGAAGGCGGCACGACAGAAACAACGGATGTTGGGGTGACAGGAGAAACTACAGCTGAGGGAGACAATCCTGAAACAACAACAGGCGATAACTCCCCAACAAATGCTAATAACACCGTTACTTATAGTGAAAGTACGACACAGGAAGAAACCTCGGGTATCACCAATGAATTTACTCAGAACCTCATCAGCACAACTGCCCCTTTAACAACGACAACTACCCCACAGCCGACCACAACACCGTATTTTGAATGTACCAGTGGTAGGTATATTTGGTTACAGATTCAATAGATAAAAGCGACAAAATTCTTTCCACATTCACAAGAAATCTCTGCCAAAAACAGTGA